CCTACCCAGATATTGCTTGGACGAGTGTAAACAGGTCAGGGTGCTCCGAAAGAACTGGCCTAACCAGTATATTCTTTGTTTATCAGTGTTTCCTAATAAACAGCTCACAGATAAGTACAACACACAAGAATTAATAAACACAAAAGCAAGGTTTTTTTGTGTGTGTGATGTATTGAGGACATTAATTAGTGTAGGTTACAGCTTAATGAGGATTTGTGAAATTCTAGTCTTAAAGAAAAAATAAGTTTACTTTAAGTTTAATATTTAAACATATAATATTTAAATATATGAAATTAACACATTCTTTTTAAAAAAAAGATTCCTATAACAAAGACCTGATACTCGATACGCCTGCTTTGTTGGAGCCAATACCGAAGTTAGAAACCTATAGAAATAGGCAGGAAATTTAAAATGTTATTATGCTGTTTGATAATGCTGTTTGCAATTCAGACTAGGTTACTGGGAACAAAGGTTCCATGTTTAAAACAGATTAAAAGATTGTGTATGGTAAGTTAAAGGGACACTATAGCTTATTGAATTTGTTCTGGTGAGTAGAATCATTCCCTTCAGGCTTTTTGCTGTAAACACTGTCTTTTCATAGAAAATGCAGTGTTTACATTACAGCCTAGTGATAACTTCACTGGCCACTCCTCAGATGGCTGTTAGAGATCCTTCCTGGGTCATGGCTGCCTAAAATGCATCCAAACATTCAGTATCTCCTCCCTCCGCATGCAGACACTGAACTTTCCTCATAGAGATTCATTGATCCAATTCATCTCTATGAGGAGATGCTGATTGGCCAGGGCTGTGTTTGAATCATGCTGGCTCTGCCCTGATCTGCCTCTTTGTCAGTCTCAGCCAAACCTATGGGGAAGCATTGTGATTGGATCAGGCTACCACTTCTGATGATTTGAATATAAAAAATAATACAGGCACTCCAGCGTATTCCAAAATGTAGGCAATCTTTATTGGAACAAGGAACCAGAAAGCAACGTTTCGACCCCTTAGGGCCTTTGTCAAGCTAATGAAGCACATACCACACACACAATATATAGGTGTATGTAACATTTCATAAGTGAAAAAACATGTGATCTAATTACAATTAATTAATGACATAATTATTACATAAATAAAAACATAATTATCTCTCCAATCACAATCTCAAATAATTAGGATGTCAGGAAAAGCAGGACAACACAGCCAATAGAGTAGCAATTCATTACTAATATAGTTTAATTATTCAATTGTGAAATGATCGTTTTAAATTACCTTTAATGAAGTAAGGAAAATATCGTGCAGCCGGATTAAGAGTTTCCACTTCCGGGTATGGTCACAAGGGCACGTCTAAGACACACCCGACGCAGACTGTCACATGATCTAATCCTATAGAGTCACAATAATAAGCGCACGGGCATAAGTTTAATCAAATGTACTACGCATGAGCGGCAATAAAATATCGCACACGCGCACTGTAATGAAACATAGTGCATGCGCAGAACCGAGCACTAAAAAGCAAAAAATTAAAAAACGAAAAGCAGACGCGCAACAACAGTGCTATGATAAAGGGCACCACTTACAAATAAAATTAAACATTTAAATACACATTTCATTCATGTCTAAATCAAAATATAAATCATGGGGTGCTTCCAAAGATAAGATATAGATTTCATACTTGTCAAAAAAATTTTTTACAATAAAGCTATAGATTTCATACCATGAAAACAGTTTTTTTACATTCAGGCTAATTGTAAACCTGCTTTTAACCTGACATCCCAAATAGTGAATCATGAAAAAATATAAAGTTCATCATAGAGAAATATAAATAATCTCATCATAATCTAAATAAGGCATATTTTAATATGAGAAGCAAATAACATAGCCCTATCCAATCCTCAATTTCATAATTACCTAATTGACAACCATTCCAGTATCATTTTAGTGATAGGTGAAAATAAGTGAAAAACCAATATGTACAAATACAATGAAAAAACATAAACAAATTATACAAAATTAATATAACCAATACTGTAATTGATAATTGATAGTGTCAAACGTGACATATAATATGCCTTAATATACAATTCTGTAATATGTAATGCAACACAATGTGTATTATATCAAGAAAACAGTGACTCATATATAAGCAAAGAGTCGCAATATGTGTAAGAAAAAACAACAATATTGTAAGACGTGTAAAACATGACATAATATGTCATAATGTGCAATAATATAATATATAATGCAACACAGTATGTATTGTATCAAGAAAATAGTGACATGTGTAATATAAATAGCAAAGAGTCGCTATATATGTAAGGGGAAACAGTAGTAGTGTACCATGTCAAAATAGATATATAATGATGCCATTTTCCAGAATCTAATTAAATATAGAAAATTGATAGGCATGTGCATGGGGAAAATTTCCGGTTCGCTTCGGCATTCCGAAATTCGGGACTTTCGCAATTCGGGACTTCGGCAATTTGGCACTTCAACACTTAGGAATTTCGGGACTTCTTTTGCAGCCGTTTAGTAGATAACTCCCTAATTCCCACGGTATTAGGGAGTTATCTACCAAAAGGCAGAAAGACCTAAATTGGTGGGGGCCAGGACATTAGGTTCCCCCCCCCATTCTGATTTAGGGCCCCCACCCGACACTCAGGGGTGGGGGCCCGGGGGGAGGACAATAGGTCCCCCCCCATTATTTTACATTACGACCCCCACCCGCCGCTTTTTTTTTTTTTTAACAGTGAGCAGCCACATGTTTTTATTTATCTATTTGTTTTTTAATATAGGTTGTTTCCGGATTTGATTATGGTCTCTATATATTATATGTACATACATACTATATATATATATTTTTTAGATTTTTTATATATATATTTTTTTAGATGTGCATCTATTGTTATGCTGATTGGGTCAATTTTCTTTGATTGTATTGCCATTTAAGTGTTTACCATGGATGTTTCCTGTCATTTAATTTATTTATCAATTTATTTGTCTATCCTCATCTATATTTATTTCTATTTTTATTAATATCCATTATGTACATTCGCTGGACTATTTCTGATTATATTGCCATTTGTACTGCAATTTAAGATCCAATTATGGATCTCCCTTTTGCATATCTTGTGTATCATTTATGCCCGTTTTTTGATGTATTTCCTATTCTATATAAATGCGCTTCTAGTTTTTTATATTCTCCCATATATTTTTAATATTTTCTCTTTTCTCTTTATTTTTAATTTTTAATTTTTTCCAGTTTTTTCTATTATGGTTTTTTAATAGACCCTTGGTGGATCCTATATATATATATTTATATTTATATGGATATTGGATGTATTTCATTTGCCCCTTCTATTATTAAATTTTTGGATATATATTTTCTTTCATACATCCTGATATATGTATATATATTTCTCTTTTCCATATTTTCTAATTAATTTTTTTTATATATATATATATTTTTCTTCTTCATATTTACATTTATTATTCCCCATGAAGCCACATTTATATTTCATTTGTGGGTTAGTTATTACTGTTAGTATTTAAGCTAGCCGCCAGGCTTTTTTATGTAAACACAGTTTACAAATATAAAACGATTGCCCTTGATGTAGGACACTCGGTTGTCTTCTGTGTATAGGAACAATAAAGTTTATTTGCGTTCCAGGGTGACCGCGCATGCGCGGAACGTATACGTGTGCGTCATTACGTATGACGTTGCGCGTGACGTACGCATGCGCGGTCACCAGGGGACCGGCGGACCGGCGGATTTAAAAAGGGGGAAAGAAGAGGATGAAGATAAGAAGCTCCTGACGAAGTCCGAGAGACGAAACGCGTTGAGCCACAGTGGGACCCTCCAGTTTTGGTATCAGCAGTTTCTGCTTTACAAAATTGTTGCCTATGAGATTGTTTGTGGACATTACTGGTGAATATCATTTTTTAGAGTGATGAGAGTTGCACTTTCTCACTTTATTGCACAGTCTGCACTTTAACATTTGCACTTTTTGTTATTCTGAGCTGCTTTACCTATGGGTCCATTTGCCTATTAAGGCTTTTTATATATATTTTGTTCTATTATTTGCACATTGTTGGTACATTCATTATTGTAACTGTGTTTGTGACCAAATGGCTACTAAAAAAGACTGGACATAACCCATTTGCAAAACCTTGGGTTGTCTACTATTGTAAATGATATGCCATTATGGGTGTAAATTTCTTTCCTGGGCTACTATAAAGTCCCAAAGGCAACGTAACCAATCTGGCGAATTTCAAATGTAACTATATTTGACCCTGTAACTTCCCAAAACGCCATAAAACCTGTACATAGGGGGTACTGTTTTACATGTGAGACTTTGCTGAATACAAATATGTGTATTTTATTGCAGTAAAAACAAACAGTATTATGACATTGACCGTTAAAATGTCATGTAGAACTAAAAAAATAAAAAATAAATCTTATTTTCTCCCATGTTTTTCATATTAAATTATGTTTCACAGCTAAATATTTGATATTAAATGAAAGCCCTGTTTCCCCTGAATAAAATGATGTATAATAAGGGTGGGTGTATTTAATATGAAAGAGGTGTATTACGGTTGGACAGACATGTAGCGCAAATGCCAGGTTTTGTTTAGATTTGGTTTCGTTCACAACGTGTACATTTGGCTCCGTCCTTAAGAGGTTAAAAGATGTGCTCAATAAGGTGATAACCAGCACTGCCATCACAGATAACAATAGTTTGTGAGAGTCATCTGTAAAAAATAAAAATTGAAACTATTAAAAACAATAAAAGTAAACTATGACTTAAACGGATTGAGGTCATATTCTTGATTGAGTCCCCTAGGTGTTAGGGATCCCAATTCTCTAATCCAGTATGCTTCTCTAAATAGTAATCTTTTTTTTAATAGGGAACCGCACGCACTCTAAAACAGGGGGGTCGCCTCCCCCTTGCCCTCAGCATAGGAGAGCCGGGAGTCACGTGACTACCCGGCGCTCAGAGTGAAGGAGGCAGAGAGTTCTGGAAGAGAGGCCCCCTTCCCTGCTTAGACAGGTAAGCAGGGAGGGGGGCCATATATCGTTAGGTGAGGGAACAGGCTGCCTGCCAGTTAGGAAAGAAGGGTGAGAGAGAAACATCAGTGTCATGGGGTGGGGGGACAAGGATAGAATGTGTAAGGGGACATTGAGATGAGGGGGAGACATGGAGAGGAGAGGGTGACATGGAGAGGAGAGGACGAGACATGAAGAGGAGAGGGGGAGACATGGAGAGGAGGGAGAGACATGGAGAGGAGAGGGGGAGACATGGAGAGGAGATGGGGAGACATGAAGAGGAGATGGGGAGACATGAAGAGGAGAGGGAGACATGGGGAGGAGAGGGGGAGACATTGAGAGGAAAGGGGGAGACATGAAGAGGAAGGGGAGACATGAAGAGGAGGGGGAGACATTGAGAGCAGAGGGGGACATGGAGAGGAGGAGACATTGAGAGAAGGGTAGACATGGAGAGGAGAGGGTGACATGAAGAGGAGGGGGAGACATGTAGTAGATAGCGGGAGACATGGAGTAGAGAGGGGGGAACATGGAGAGGGGGAGACATGGAGTAGAGAGGGGGAGACGAAGTAGAGAGGAGGAGACATGGAGAGGAGAGGGGGAGACATGGAGAGGAGAGGAGAAGACATTGAGAGAAGGGGAGACATGGAGAGGAGAGGGTGACATGAAGAGGAGGGGGAGACATGTAGTAGAGAGCGGGAGACATGGAGTAGAGAGGGGGAGACATAGAGTAGAGAGGGGGAAACATGGAGAGGAGAGGGGGAAACATGGAGTAGAGGGGGGAGACATGGAGTAGAGAGGGGAGACATGAAGTAGAGAGGAGGAGACATGGAGAGGAGAGGGGGAGACATGGAGTAAAGAGGGGGAGACATGGAGTAGAGAGGGGGAGACATAGAGAGGAGAGGGGGAGACATGGAGAGGAGAGGGGGCCATAGATCGAATTGGTAAGTGGACATGAAGGGGAGGGGGACATGGATGGAATTGGAAAAGGGACATGTAGGGGAAGACATGGTTAGAAGGGGGGGAGACATAGCTGGTAGGGTTATATGGAGCGGGGACATGAAGGGGAGAGACATGGATGGAAGAGGTAGCAGGACATATAGGGGAGGGGGATGGAGACATGGATGAAAGGGGTAAGAGGACATGGAGGAGAGGGAGAGAGAGACATGGGTGAAAGGGGGAATGTCACCCTCCCATGTACACTGTCACCATCCCACACACTGAAGGCAGAAAGGCTACTGGCAGAGCGATGGCGCAGAGAGGCTGGTGGCAGAGAGATGGCACAGAGAGGCTAGAGGCAGAGAGTGGCTAATGGCAGAGAGATGGCACAGAGAGGCTAGTGGCAGAGAGATGGCACAGAGAGGCAAGTGGCAGAGAGATGGCACACACAGGCTAAGATCAGAATGGCATTGGCAGGCTGTTTGGTTGCACATGTGGCTCATTGGCTTGATATACAAACTTTATGTATTTATTGCTTCATTGGCACAATATGCCAAGTGTATGCATTTACTTTCCATTGGCGTCATATATCAAGTTAATGTATTTATTGCTCATTGCATGGTATACATATTTTTGTAAACTATTCTCATTGGCAAGATATACAAAGTTTATGCATTTTATGCATTAATATCATTCCCTTTGCCCCCCAGGATATATATGTGTGACTGTGTTGATGTGCTTGTGTGTGCGTGCATAACGGGGCGGGGGGTGGTGTCTTGGACCCAGGCAGCACAATGTCTTGGGCCAGTCCTGTGGAGTTGGAATCATATGAAAAGTCAGAACGGGTTACTAACATTTTTGAATCCCACTACTGGACAGTTCCCTTTTGTCCTTTAGCCCGGAGTGTATAATGATTATTATTTTATTATTTATATAGCGCCAGCAAATTCTGTAGCACCGACGAGCTTGAGCTGTGCTTTGGGGACAGCGTCCCCAAAAGCGGGACGGGACCAGAAAATCAGGACTGGACCATCGTAATGGATAGGAGGTACAGAATAGTCACATTGCCAGAGACCTGCCCTCACACACTGGCACAGAGCTGCCACCCTGCCTATGGAACTGGGAGACCTAGATCTCAGTCTCTATCAGAATGAGAAACACGTTCTTATAGGAATCAGAATGTGACAGAACATCCTGCCAGTTCTCTAGCACCAGATCTGCCTTTTCCCAAGATGGCCGCCATGGCCTCAGCCGTAAAGCAAGAGATGTTTACCAGGGGGCAAACGAGCGTCACCGTTGCGTGCTGACGTCACGGACTAGGCTGAGCTAATAAACAGGCCCCCTTTGCGGCATTTCCAGCTCGGCTGCCGCCGCCCCTCCCCCCGCCCACAGCGAGGAAACCGCCAGCCCAGCTGTGAGTCTCTCCCTCCGCCATTAATAACATTCTGTAATAACAATAGGCGCCATTTGACACCCAGATCTCGGTTTCTGTCAGTAATGGCTCCGGGGTAGTGTGAGGCTGTTGATATATCGGTTATCAGGTGATATCGCTGTAGTTTTCATTACGTCGGCGTGACGTCAGACGCAGAAGGCGTGTCCTCGCTGTATGACCGCGCCTCCCAGTGACGTAATGGGCGTGGCCTCTAGTGCCTTCTCTGGCTGGTTTCAGTTTCTCCTTATAACGTCACTGTTGGAATGTGTCGGCTTAAAGGTATACACCCCCCCCACATAAATATTGAACTACAACTCCCGTGATGCTTTGCCACTGTTAAAGCTGCAGTGTCACACGTTCTTGAGATTTCATCAGTGATGTTCGCGCCTGGTGCTAGGTGAAGGTGACCTTCCCGGCACCCATGAGGGACAGGTTCAGATAAGTGGGTTTTGGCGGGATCCTCCACAGACCTCAATGCTGCACTCTCACGCATGCACGAGAATTCAGCAGTGACGTCTGCCCCTGATTTTTGAAGAGGACCCGTCAGGAGAAGATGGCGGTGCCCATGATGGACAGATTCAGGTAAAAAAAAAATAACCTTTTGACACCCTCTTTCCCCCCAAAATATATATATATATATATATATATATATACACACACCCCCTGCAAATTGTGCCAAGTTCCAGATGGTGACCGTGTCACTTTGACTATTATGGAAGTGAGGGAGTTCGCATCTATTCTTTTTATAAAATAATTTTAACCCCTTAAGGACACATGACGTGTGTGACAGGTCATGATTCCCTTTTATTCCAGAAGTTTGGTCCTTAAACGACCACTATAGTGCCCTGAAGTTGCCCCCACCCTCAGGGTCCCCCTCCCGCTGGGCTGGATGGCGAGGAAAGGGGTTAAACTTACCTTTTTTCCAGCGCCGGGCGGGGAGCTCTCCGCCTCCAATCCTCCACTTCGGCTGAATGCACATGTGTGGCAGGAGCTGCGCACGCATTCAGCCAGTCTCGTAGGAAAGCATTTATAAGGCTTTTCAGTGAGAAGCACGCAAGCGCCTCTAGCGGCTGTCAATGAGACAGCCACTAGAGACTTTGGAGGCTGGATTAACCCATTTATAAACATAGCAGTTTCTCTGAAACTGCTATGTTTATAAAAAAAAAAAAAAGGTTAATCCTAGAGGGACCTGGCACCCAGACCACTTCATTAAGCTGAAGTGGTCTGGGTGCCTAGAGTGGTCCTTTAAGGGGTTAAGGATAAAGAAGGGTCTTGAAAGATACTTCGCACAGAACAAATTTGTTGGCCTGCATTCATGGATAATGCCCAAAAATAAATAAATAAAATAAAAAATTGTAGAAAAAATGTACATTTATTGGAATAAAAAAAAAAATATAAATACATATGGCAAAACATTGAGACAGCAGTCCTTGTGTATGCTGTATTGGTCCAATCATATGGACATGAAAAGATAAAAAGCGTGAATAACTCCAAATATAAAGAATGCAAAACCTGACCACAAGACCACCACCAGCAGCTGCTAGACTGCCAACCAAAAAGAAAGTTAGTAAAGCCCTGGACCTGTTTGGCACCACACCTGGTGCTTTTTAAACGTGGTCCTGCGCTCAAGTTTTGTATTCTTTGTTTTGAGTTATTTCCTCCTTTTCATTTCTGTATGATTGGACCAATACAGGATATATGAGGACTGCTGTCTCAGTGTTTTGCTATATGTATTTATATTTTTTTTACTTCAATAAATGTGCATTTTTTTTTCTACAATTTTTATGTATTTTTGGGGATTACACATATGTGTGGGCCAACAAATTTGTCCTGTGTGAAGTATCATTTGATTACCGGGAGGATTCCAGCACTGCGAAAGTAAACATTGTTTTGCATTTATTGAACTGCAATAAGTATTATGTGGCTTAGTATATCTGTTTTAATTTTGGAGCTGCGGCAATTTCATGAATGAGGAATTTCATATCACTCACCACTTTTTTTTTTTTTTAACTACTAAGGGTCCTGAAAGGTCTGTGTAACGAGCCCTTAAAGGACCACTATAGTGCCAGGAAAACAAACTAGTTTTCCTGGCACTATAGTATTAATAGGTCCCCCTCCCGCCAGGCTGAAGGGGGAGGAAGGGGTTAAATCACCTACCTTTCTCCGGCGCTGGAGACTCTCCTCCTCCTTGGACGTCATCGGCTGAATGCAAATGCGCGGCAAGAACCGCGCATTCAGTCAGTCCATAGGAAAGCATTCTCAATGCTTTCCTATGGACGCTGGCATCTTCTCACTGTGAAAATCACAGTAAAAAGCACCTCTAGCGGCTCTCAATGAAACAGCCACTAGATTTCCATTTGCAGGGAAAAAAAATAACATAGGTTTTGGATTTTCCAGTGCTGACTATCCCTCAGAATTGCTTCCCCCCTCAGAGGAGCATTGGGGACCTAATGGGCATGCGTGTCAAGTGCTGTGCGCATTCAAGCTTTCCCATAGGAAAGCAATGAGTCAAGGCTATGGGGACTTCCCTGTCATTTGACAGGTTTGTGGGTGTTTTTTTTTTTTTTTGGGGGGGGGGGGGTGTGGGAAGGAAGTTCGGTCAGTGCTGCAGTGGACTTTACCCTGTAATGTAAAGAACCACAGTTTATTTACAAAAACCGCAGTGTCTTCGTTGGAAGGTTAAAAGGACAGGGACACTGCACCCAGACCACTTCATTAATATAAAGTGGATCGCGTGACTGTAGTGTCTTGTTAAATGTATCACTCAGGTGTGTGTTTATTTTTTTTTCTTGCCTCATATGTAACTAAAAACGTATGATGTGCAGAACTTCATATAATGCATAGTGTGTATAACTTGTGCCCAGGAATACGTTGGGTCTTGCAGCAATTGACATATTCAATGTTGACTTTCTTCCAGACCCGTCTGCTAACAGATGATTCTATCCACATACACTGACCAGCCACAACAATAAAAACACTGACAGGTGAAGTAAAAAATATTGATTATATTATTACAATCCCAACTGTCAAGGTGTGGGATATATTAGGCAGTTCTTGAATTTCATGGAAGCGGTAAAAATGGAGAAGAAAAAAGAACTGAGTGACTTTGACAAGGGCCAAATAGAGATGGCTAGACGGCTGGGTCTGAGTGTCTCCAGGACGGCAAGTCTTGTGGGGTGTTCCAAGCGTACAGTGATTAGTAACTTCCAAAAGGGGCGCAAGGACGTACAACCAGTGATCAGTGTAAAGCTTCAACAAAGGAACGGCAGGAAAACTCTTACAAATATTCAAGGGATTCCTGATGAACACGATAAGAAAAAACTTGTTCAAGCATTCAAAGAGGTATCGTATCATTTTTTAGTTTTTATTTTTTTTTATTCTATATGGTGAAGTTAAAGGAACACTCAAAGCAATGTAATGATTATGGTGCCATTTTAAGTAGTTTTAGTGCAGTGATTGGAGTGTTAAAATTTGGATTCCCAGAACATACTTTGTTTTTGTGCTTTAACTATCTAATTCTTGCTACAGAAATTTGCTTGTGACGGTTCTGTGGTTGAACATCCAATATTTGGAGAGATGATCCAGCTTCCGGGAGATCAACGCAAGAATGCTTGTCAGTTCCTTGTGGAGGTACATATTGGCTTTCTTGTTGCAAATTGTACTTAATACTCCAATTTTTAGTAAATTCCGGCTTTCCAAGTACAAAGGAACAATATATGGTTAGGAGAACAAACCTTTATTCCTGACCCTGTAGTATTAAAGCCTGGAGACTCTGACCATTGTGCAGCACTGCCCCAGGAAGCACCTCTAGTGGCCGTCTGAAGAGTGGCCAATGGAGGTGTCCCTAGGGAACAATGTAAACCCTGCCTTTTCTCTGAAAAGACAGTGTTTACATTAAAAAGCCTGCAGGGACTGACTATACTCACCAGAACAACTACAATTCGCTGTAGTAGTTCTGGTGACTAGTGTCACTTTAAGGTCAAAACTGAACAGCATAGCAATTGGACACACAGGTCTCATTAATTGTAGCAATATATACAGAAACTTGCAGGATTTTTCAGTACAATTTAAGTTGTGTAACTAATTTGTTATAAAATGTACCTTAACCCTTTTTCTTTTCTTTTGTTTAGATTGGACTTGCCAAGGATGACCAATTGAATGTTGTTGAGTCTTAAGCCGCAAAACCTATTGTCTGCATCTAAATTTAAAGCACTTCCTCTTGCATAGAAACAAATCCTTCTTGTCTCAAGTTTAAAACTTGGCTTGTGAAATGCCCATTTAAGGACTGTAAAAAACGTTGTTGAAACATGAACTTGTCCTGGAGACCATATACAAAGTTTTTTTTTGTTTTTTTGTTTTTGTCTTGTCAGTCTGTACCTTCAGTTACAGGTCCCATTGTGCTATGGCCTAGGTGGGTAAGGATTTATAAATATACAAAATATTGCTTTTACGTGCATCTTAGTGGTGAGGTAATGTGACCTCTAAGCATGCCTAAAGATGGGATGAATCTCTGCTGTAAAGTGCGTCTGACTGAAAGATAAGCCTGTCAACATGCTCACTTGGTGTTGCTTGGAAATAGTCTTTTACGTAGGAGTTAAACAGGCGTTTAAACAAACAAGGTAAATATTTTATTTTTCTGTATGTATTGCTTTTGATAACTTTGAAAATGGGTGTTGGTAAGATTGAAGATTTAACTATGGGCACATCTTGCTACATGTGTGCATATGTGGATGAATCCATCCAGGGTCCATACCGCCTGTGGCAGGTGTAAGAGAATGGCTTCTCTGGAAGCTCATATTGGCAATCAGGAGAAATTGCGACATGAGTCAGATTGATAATCTTGAAATGGGGCTGCTGCTAACTAAGGGAGGGAAAGGTTTAGCTAGCCCTGACTTTGTGCAAACTAACAGATTTTCCTGTTTCATAGAAGATGTGAGCAGCTGTACTGGAGGAAGCTGTAAATTTTAATTATGAGGAAACAGTCCGTCTAGTATGGGTGGTGTTGAGAATGTAACAAAGGCTACACAGATTGTGGTGGTAGGGGACTATCATTAAGAGAGAAGATGGGGGTAATCTGCCGCTCTGATCATCTCATTCGAACAGTCTGCTGTTTAGATGCTCCATTTTGGAGCAAGGGAAGCCATTTGTTTTGGACTGATGTAAAAGCAAAACTGACCTACTCTTGTAGACTGGCTTGAAACATGCTTTTGAGTTTTCCGTTTTGAAGCTGTAAATGTATTCAGTATCTTGGTTAAATAAACTTTTTTCAATTAAGCCTTTCAAGTCTGTCTTTCTAGTAAAGGTAAATAAGTAACAATTCACTGATATGTCTGGATTCAATTTATTGAGCACTGCTAATCTAGCACACAATAACTTGGATGTTCTATAAGCACTAGGGTGTCATTTTGGTTTTACTTGCAAAAAGTTGGCTTCCCAAAGAAGTTCTCCCTTATACTCATACCTACCCTAGCAAGTTCTGGTATTAAGCCAAGAGAGATGTGATGGAAGCTAGGAGAATGAAGGACCGAATAAAACAATAATGGATGTTCTGCAGGTAAAGGAAATATGGGTTTTGGTGATGGCTGTGGACCAAAGATGGGAGATATAAAGGCACACCGTAACCACTAAAGCCTGCTTTTGTCATTTATAGTACCAAGAGTGCCCTTGCATCCTCCAAAGTAAGGGTACTGTTTAAGAACACTCACAACTTACCTGGGATCTGCAAACTGTTCCCTGCTGTCTGCTTAACTGGTACAACAGCCTTGATATTGGTATTCCTACAACTATCTGACCTGTATTTATATGGGGGGGTGCTCTAAGGTATTGGAAAGACACAGGCACAAATGGGATGGCGATAGTGAGACACAACCAGTTGTTGGAAAAGATACATATTGGATGATGGCATTTAAACCTGGAATTCTTAGGGTTTGCTACAGTCCTTTTGTCAACATAAAGCTGTTTAGCTTGCAACAAGTGTGGCCACACTTCTGCTGTGACTGAGTCTGCCCTACAGGAGTTAACATCAGAAGTGTTAAGTGTTTCTACTAGGTTTGAGAGAAGCAGAACAAAATAAATAGAATATAAAAGGGCACTTCACAAAGCCTTGACTAATATTTACACTAATTTATTGTACGGTTTATATAGGTTGTTTGTAATAGTGGGGATAAGGGCAGAGAATAAGTGTATGGGGAAACTGAAGGGGGGGAAAAAAAGGTCAGCAAGCTAGGTGAACACTTGTTGAGAAGGCAGGAGAGATATCAGAAAGGGATACTACACACCTGGAAAAGAGGTACATTACAATAGGAAAAATATAAAGGGAGCTATGGATTTTGGCCCGAAAGGGGTACTGTGCATCCTAAATAGGGACAGTTGGAAGGTATGCATTGTTTATAGATCTCTAGCCAAACCTCACCTAGCTGTGGCACTCACCATCTTACTACACAGTTTTTGGGAAAAAAGCCTGAATATTTTTTTATTTGCCTTATTGCAAAGTGTACTTATAGTTGTACTGTAAGCACTATATAACAATAGACCCCAGTGTTAAACCATTTTCAAGCAGTTTAAAGTGGCACTGTCACCATTTTGGCAAAGTCCCCAATGATGACAGCACTGCTGGGGATCCGGTGGCCAGGGAGGGAAGGAAGGTAAAGGTGAGTCTACTTACCTGAACCTGTCCCTTTCGAGCGCCACCATCTTGGTCCAGTGTGGTTCTCCTCTGCACTGGCTAGAGTACAGCATTGAGGTCTATGGGGCTCCTGCGAGACTATGGTATCCTCCATAGACAAGTCAATACCCTCAGCTGTCCCTGATGTTGGCTGCAGTCATTGATACTTAGGCTCCACCTTGTGTCAAGGAAAGTCAGGTGGATGAGAAATACGAAGACAAAGTAGACCCTACTTTGTCACTGTTTATCTCTTGACTGGGTTGAAATTTCAGTGAAATTCCAACACCGTCATGAGTATTACATCTTTATGAAATACAAATTTTTCATGGGTAGTGACAGTGTCGCTTAACACTAAATAAGGGTCCCTGGCCTCCACCAGCCCAGACTCTACTGGAGCTATGGATAAGGCAGCGACTGTGAACTTCCTTCTAGTCATAGCAGCAATAAGTGTTGTGATAGGATAAAAGCAGTCAGCTGACATCCTTGGCCAATCACAGACATTCCCTGAGGTGTGGCTAGGCGTCCTAAGCAAAAACAAAAGTAATTTACCCCTTCCTGATGTTAGGAGATTTTATTCCAGCGTACAGAGTTGGCTTAAATGCCTGTAGGGCCGCGTGGAACAAAGTGCAGGTTTGGTGTGAGCAGGATTAAATATCAACTCCCACAAAGGAGCATGAGTATAAATGGATACCTTGGGTTCCCCTCAGAGCAATTTTTAGTAGCCCCAGACTTTGTGATGAGCTGCTTGCAGTGCTGCAAGTAGGTCTTTAAATAGGCATTTAAATGCCTGCTCACATCACTAACACAAAGTATAAATGGATAGGTGGGGTTCCTGTTAGTCACCTTGGGTCATTTTTAGTGACCCCAGACTCACTGATGAGCTCTATGGAGTGCTCAAAGTCAGCACTGCATAGAGCCCTTTAACATCATTCATAAAACAGAGGCTGGGCAATCGCGCTCGGCTCCGTTTTTCTGGGTTGCAGGCTAGTTCAGGGAGACATTCTGGGGATATGAATAGACCTTGGCAGGTTCTCACAGCTTGTCCCTATCAAAATGTGACCGGTGCTGGGCTTTGCCAGTTGTCCAGCATTGATCTCTGTAATCTACTGGGACACAGGGCTCCATTCCTAATTACAGTAAGTGTAATTATAAAAATGGCCAGTAGATGGCGGTCACAAACCACTATACAGTATGTTGTGTTAAATGGTAAAACACATTTCTAAAATCAGAAGTAATATTGCATCTTGGGGTTAGCGGTGGGGTTATGGTTAGTGTAGGCCTGTAGGGTAATGTTTAATGCTGGGTATGAGTTACTACTGTTTTAGAGTTAGAGATAGTGTAAGGTTATGGGTGGTAATATTAGGGTAGGCATACGGTAAGGGATATTATTGGTATAGCATTAGTGTGGGTGTTGGTATAGGGTTTGCGTTACCTATAAAAAAATTAGATCCTAATCATAGTAAGCATTTAACAGGACTGATATATGAATCTATTTTGAGTTATTTTTTTAATAAGTTGCACTGAATGTATAAAACTTATTATAAGTAAAATGGGAAACTCTTCAAACGGGATTTTTGGCCATCTTTTGGATCAACAGCAAAAAAAGCTGAGAGGCTGAATTGATGGACGCTTCTCTTTTTTTCAGCATATGTAATATTACGGTGTAAAAAAAATATAACTCAAATGTAAGGTTTTAGGCAGCGCTGGGAGCTAACCTGCAAGGGAAGCTTCCACCTCCCCTCCCTCCATAATAATGGGAAGATGGATGCCATACATCTACCATAGGCAGCAAAAGAACTTTAGGTTATTTAATGTCCCGGCAGTTTCACTTCTCAATTTAGAAGTTAAAACACATTTTAGATTCTGTTTATGCAACCCTATCCACACTTCCCTTGGCTGTGACTAACAAAGCCTGCATGAAAAAACAAAAGTTTTATTTTCAATCAGGTGTTAATTTGCTCTAGAAGTTTTTATCCATGCTCTGTAAATTGAACTTTAATCACACACAGAAGGCTCCTGAAGATTATTAACGACAGGAGATAACAAGATTAAAGGACCACTATAGTGCCAGGAAAACAAACTCGCTTTCCTGGCACTATAGGGTCTTTAGGTCCCCTCCATCCTTAGGGTGCCCCTCCCGCCTTGCTGAAGGGTTTAAACTCTTACCTTTCTCCAGTGCCGGGCTCCCTCTGCACTGGGGAACTCTCCTCCCTCTTCTGACGTCAGCGCCAAACATGCACGCGTGTCAAGAGCCGCGCGCATTCCATCAGTCCATAGGAAAGCATTTCTCAATGCTTTCCTATGGACGTAAGCATCTTCTCACTGTGATTTTCACAGTGAGAAGCGTGGAAGCGTCTCTAGCAGCTGTCAGTGAGACAGCCACTAGAGGCTGGATAAACCCTAGTGTAAATATAGCAGTTTCTCTGAAACTGCTATGTTTACAGCTGCAGGGTTAACCCTAGATGGACCTGGCACCCAGACCACTTCATTGAGCTGAAGTGGTCTGGGTGCCTATAGTGGTCCTTTAACCCCTTAAGGACACATGACATGTGTGACATGTCATGATTCCCTTTTATTCCAGAAGTTTGGTCCTTAAGTGGTTAAACAGACTGAGCAGTAAAGGAACCTATAACATCTAGGTTATTTTTTTAGGAAGCCTGTGCAAGGAGGTGTGACTAGGGTTGTGTAAACAAAGTGATTTAAATGAACACTATAGGGTCAGGAATACAAATGTGTACACACGCACCCACCTTGGCACACAAATATACATACTTGCATACAGATACATGCACATACACACAATCTGACATACACACAGAGAAACGTATAAGCATGTTAAAATGTTTATATTTGCAGCCACCCTCCTGATAGCTTACTGGGCTTTGTGCCCAGGAGTGTGGCTTGCTTTGGCTCCTGGTGATGGTGGCTGGTGAGCATGCAGCAGCTCAGTCCAGCCTCTCCTATCTCAATGCTGCCTTCAGCCTCCCTCCATTCCCCCCCTGCTGCGCTCTGCGAAGTTGGCATGCAGTGACAGGCTGTCTTCCCCGCTAACAGATATTACAGTGGCCCTGTTGTGCTCTTAAAGGGCTGTGGCACCCAACCTGGCCCATGCTGGGTGCCGTAGCCCCTTTAAGAGCCCAACAGGGCCACAAGTATTGTCAATCATATACATTATCCTGGAAATCAAAATGTTCAAAATTGTGAGAGACTCCAGTATCTCCAGGAGAGTTGGGATGGCTGTATTTTGAGGGACAGAGGCGTAACTAGAAAGCACAGGGCACCTGTGCAAAAATTGCCCTGCCCCCCCATAGTGTTCCCCATACGTCCCCTCACACAGGGCCGGACTGGGGAAAAAATTAGGCCCGGGCATTTTTCAATCAGAGCGGCCCCCTAAGAAGGGGGCGGTGCCAGAGAGTGTGTGTTTTGTCATCACTAATGACAACACGCCCCCTCTCAAAATGAGCATGTTGGTTCAATGCCCAGAGCCCTGCTGAAGAGCTCTGGCATTAGAAAAAGGCCCTGAATTTGTTCTGCGCAGTGCAAGCAAATTTAATAACATGCTTGCGCTGTGTTTGCTTTTAAATTGTCTCTGGTGTCTCCACAAGTGGGATACCAGAGGACAAAAGGGCCAGGAAAGTGCATGGTGCATATGTTTGGAGCCTGCTTGTGGGATTGCGTGTGTGTAGAGTGTGGTGTGGTATTGTATAAATAGGTCAATTTAATTTGTGTTTGTGGTGTTATATGTGTGGCTAGGGGCTGTAGAGAGTGTGTGTATAGGGGGCATAGTGTTATAGGGGATGCAGCGAGTGTGTGCATACGGGCTGAAGTGTGTGTGTATAGGTGACGTAGTGTGTGTAGGGGTTGCAGAGAGGGTGTGTTTAGAGAATGTTGTGTTTGCTGACAAGGAATGTAGTGTGTGTGTGTAGGAGATCTACTGTGTAAATGACCCAGTGTGTGTGTGTGTGTAGAGGATTAAGAGTGCATATAGGGTAAGGGATCTAGTGTGTATCTGGAGCGTAATGTGTGTAGTGGTGCAGTGTGAGGGGTGCTGTAGTGTGTGTGTGTATGTATATATATATATATATATATATATATATTCAGACTTATTGTATGTGTGAGGAGCGCAGTGTGTGTATGTAAGAGGGGTGCTGTGTGTGAGGGTGTTTTTATCTGCTGTCACATTCTAGGTTTCTAATTTTCTTTGTCTGTTAACTCACTGAGGGTTATTTTATATATATATATATATATGTGTGTGTGCTGTATATGTGTGGGAGTGTGCTGTGTGTGAGTGAGGGTGCTGTGTGTGTCTGGGGGGTGCTGTGTGTGTCTGGGTGCGCAGTGTGTGTCTGGGTGCGCAGTGTGTGTCTGGGTGCGCAGTGTGTGTCTGGGTGCGCAGTGTGTGTCTGGGTGCGCAGTGTGTGTCTGGGGCGCAGTGTGTGTGTCTGGGGCGCAGTGTGTGTGTCTGGGGCGCAGTGTGTGT